TGGTTCTAGATGGTGATGAAGAAGCAACGACAGATAGATGGGGAGGAGGCTTGGACCAGGAGAGCAAACACGATGAAGAAGAGAAATGAGATCCAGAGAAGCTGGAATTTTTGGAGGGTTCTAGAAAGATAAAAAGACATACTTGAAATAAAGGGATGAATAAATAGCTAACCAATTAAGCAATCGACTAATCCATTAAGCTATCAACTGATTAAACAAGGCAAAAACAAACAATAATATATACCTGAACAAATAAGTCATAGAAGCTTAATAGGCGATCAAAGCCATGAGCACAGCTCCTAATTGCTTCGTTTGATTGGAGTATCCATATTAGTTTGATAATATTTTATTTGTTTTAGTTCATTATTTTAATTTTCGTGAACGGATATTATTGTGTTAAATTTGCAGAAGTACTTGTTTTTAGTTGACGAATAAGTTGCAGTTCACTTTTTGGTGAGAAAGTGTTAATCATGGCCTCGAAGGTATCACTGGAAAAAGAAAATGATGTCGGTTTCCTTCCTCCTTTAGAATGTAACGTTAAGATCTCAATCGATTTAGATAGTTAGGTTTTAATTATGTACCGGTCACAAATCTGTTTGTTTTAATCACTTAAACTTTTAGCAAATATATTATATGTTACTATCCACTAATTGAATTGTTGTTTTTTGTAATTAATATTAGTTATATGTTACTATCCACTAATTGAATTGTTGTTTTCTGTGATTACTATTAGTTATATGTTAATATCCACTAATTGAACCGTTGTTTTCTATATTTATGGCTATTAGAAATATGTTACTTTCCACCCTACTCTAACTCTTAATCAATTTGTTGGTCTTCGTTATGGATACAGTGGATTTTATTTGTTTGGAAAACACAAAAGGAATTACAATTGTAATACAATGATATCATTATTCTTTGACAGCTTTGTAACCGGGGCGAAGGCCTGATATATACATAAATTTGGATTGGTATAAGTACTATATATACACATACATGTTTAGCATTCTTTTTGTTTCTAATTTAAGGATTTGTTTCAAACCGAGTTTGTTTCTTTTCTTAAAATAACAGTGGTTAAATAATTAGTGATCTTTGGACATTTGTACTCAACTGAACCATAATATCTACTTTTATAGTGGGTATTTGGACTAGTTATCCACATCAGTACTCTTTAATTAAGTTGTAACCGATCTTTATTAAAGAAAAAAGAGAATGGTATGGTAAACGAGATCTTCTTTCACTACTTTTTAACTGAAGGCACCTCACGTCTCCCTCAAACTCTATTGATAGGTCTGCTGTTGCATTTAGTTATTGTTATTTTGTTGTATTATACTTGTTTCTTTCTTTAAGTATGAAATAGATCGGTGAATCTATGAACCTATTCCACATGCATTGTTCAGGGACCGACTTTAATTGACTTAACTTGTATACTCTAAAATGAAATAATTACATGTATGGTCATTATGGTTTCAGTTTTATTATGGATTAGGCCCCTTATCCTAACTCCACTAACCGGTGCTCCGTTAAATCAAGGGTATTATCGTCCTTTTCACATTTTAATAAATAGTTTAGTTTAATGGTACAATTTTGGAAGCCAACAGTACAAGTCTTTAAAGTGTAAAGAGAAAGAAACTAAACTCTACACAACCGATGACTCTTCCCACCCCCCTTAAAAATATCTACGACCATCTTCTCCAATGAAGTGTTTATCAAAAAATCTTTAACCAAAAAATCTTTACCTAGAAAAAAGATCTCATTAGAAAGAGGGTTTCTATTTCAAAAGGCAAATGATATCCCTTTTACACAGATGAAAGATCCAATTTCAAAACCCTGTATGTATGTGTTTAAGATCTTACCATATAAAACGGAAAATCCATTACACAGATGGTTTTCTTTTTCCATCTCAAACACCAAAATTTTGTTTTTCTTCTTCATGTTATCAATCGCCACATATTTCCAGTTAAGACCATCACTATAAACAACTTGGTCCTTGCTTATCTTTGTTGATTGCAGGTAGCTGAAAAAAATCTAGTTCTCACCACTGCCATGACCACCAGCTCATGGCCATCAGTGGCCACCACCAAATTTCCTCCTTCTGCTTCAATTGAACATGTTGTGGTTTTTGATGTCTTATGTTGGATATTAGTTCAGATAGGGGTTGCAGATAGACCGATTTTGCTATTGTTGTCTTGTTGAACGGTAATGTGGTGGAAAACCATGAAAAAACAAATGAAATACTATATCAGTATGGATGTCATATTAACAAGAAAAATATGAACTTTTTTTGGTGTAATTTATTTCTTTTGAATTTTGTTTATTTTCATCTGTTTTCGAATAAAAAGTAGGGGGTAAGGTTTTTTAATTTAAAAATATTGTTGTAACCGTCCGTTTAATCACATCCATTAGATCATCTACTCTAATAGTTGTTTAGGCGTTCTTTTAGTTTTTTATTTATCTAAGGTTTTTAAGGTTTTCCCCTGAACTTTCTTCTCTGTATATAGAAGGTTAATCGTTTAAGAACTCTAAAATTTGTGAGATCTGTGGCAACTTTTATTTTAAGGTTTTCTTTAACATGATTTTTTTCATCTAAGTATAATTTTATGTGTTTTTAATAAAGTAATAATGACATTAGTTTTGAATAAAATATAAATTTGAAGATATCATAAAAATTTGAAGAAAAAATATTAATGTTAATATCAAATCAACTATTTAAAAATTCTCATTTTTTATGTAATTTTTTATTATAATTTATTTTAAGTTTAATAATAAAATAATTTATTTTTGGTTTAATAATAAAAATTTTATAAAGATAATAATTAAGTATTATGTTAGAACTCAATGATTATCTTAATTATATTTTAGATTTTTTATATTTAAAATGAGATGTTTATCCTATATTTGATTATGTTTATTTGTAGTTAGTTACACGAATTCAGATATGAAGCTTTAATAAGTTGTATTTACGTACAATCTATTTGCAATATTGAGTTTTAAGTAATATGTATTAATAAACAGTATTTTATGCATAAAAAATGGTTTTTAAGAGTTTTTGTCAAATGCTTTATAATATAGTATACATATTATAATAAAATACATAATATATTATGTAATATATATATATATATAGAGAGAGAGAGAGAGAGAGAGAGAGAGAGAGAATCCCTACTTTTCCTTTATTTAATACAATATAACTTAATACTTTTTTCATATTAAACTTTATTTAATTAAAAAAATAGAAAAATAAATTCAAAAAAACTTATTTTGGTATTTTTCATTATTTTATTTTAATTCATAAAACATAGAGTAAATTTGTTCATGTCTTTATACAACAGGAAATATGGACCGGTTACTCAAACAAAATAATTATATATATAATCACTATGGTTTTACTTTTGTTACAATTGAGTCCTTTACCACAACTTTAGTAACGGTTACTCCGTTAAATTAAGAAAACTTTTGTCTTCTTACATTTTTTTATTAACCTGGATATTCAACCCGCTATACGAGCCGACTAATCTCAAGACAACCACTTGCGTTGCAGATAGCCCGGAATCACCGCATTTGAACCTTCATGACCACAAGGAGATTCTTATTTCTCCTTGAATTTGAACATGGGACCTCCTGGTGCTTTTGACCTTTTGAGCCAAACTCAAACCAATTAGACACTACCTTTATAGTTGTCTTCTTACATTTTTATTTAAAAGATAATAAAGTTATATGGTTTATATTATAAGTATGTTAAAAATATCTCCATGTGGATATTTTAGATAAAAATGAAAGAAATACGTAAAAAAAAAGACAATAATTCCTTGATTCAGTGGACCAATCGTTAGTAGAGTAATCATAAAGGACTTAATTGGTAACAAAAGGAAAACCATAATAATTATAGATGTAATTATTTCATTTGGAGGATCTAATTTATAATTCCAAACATATACATTTAATTCATTTGATAGATCATAAGTCAAATAAATTTATATACTCTTTTTAACTTTAGTGAAATTTAAATCCTTGGTCTTTTTGAAGTTTGGACTTTAACTTTATAGATAATGCAGATATCTCTATTGCAAAGGCCCTTCGGGTGATAAAACTGAAATTATCAAAATGAGTAAAATATCTTTGTAGCAAAAATGGCACTGAATTCAAATATTAGAAAACAAGTGCTCAAAATGGAATGAGGCGTGGCATGGCGGTGAGGTCAAGACTCAAGCCTTACTAGTCATGACGAGGATGTGATGTTTTCCGAGGCGTGACATAAGGTGGCAAGTTTGTATGTTATATATAAAATATATATACATATATGTCTTGTATATATTATTCATTCAGATAATGATATTAAATAATTTACATTTATATTAGAAGAAGAAGAAATCATATAGATTATTATTATAAAAATAGTCTTTGATTAAATATTCAAGATAGGACTTAGAAGGTGATTTTACAACTTCGTTATAATTGTGAAACCATGACATGTATGAATTCATGAAACTATGAGTAATGTGATCAGATAAATCTATAAAAATGTTAAAAATAAAGTTAAAAATGTAAAAACACAAATATTAAAAAAATAACTTTTTTTTTGAAAAAAACCTCACGTCTTGAAGAAAACGCACGACACGGCGTGTCATGGCACACTTCAAGACGTCATGGCGTAAGCCACACCTTACAGAAACGACATTAGCCTTATCATAACAACAGACGTATCTTACATCATGACATGACTTTTTGAACACTGATTAAAACCGATATTTTTATATCAGGAAATTGTATGTTGAAGGTCATGGAATTAGTACCAATTACATTTTGAAGCATGCTGCTTGGTTGGTGGTATTTAGAAAATGAAAATTTCTATGCCACATCAACAATAACCTAATCTTAGATACCAAAATGTTTCAAATGTCACATCTTAAATACTAAAATAGAATTTTTTAAAATATGATGTTCAAAATAAAAATTACATTAAAATACGTTACATTTTCATGCAATTTGGATATTAAAAAACAAAAAAGTCCAAATGTTGTTAGCAGTTAGAATTTGAAATCAATAACTAACCAAATCCAGGAGGTGCATCAAGCTCTTCATCACTACCACCACCACCACCATCATCATCACCATCCTCTTTCTGTTGGTTAAATCCAGGTGGTGAACTTCCATCATTCTCCAATGGCTTTTCTGGTTTTTCTTTCCCTTCTTCTTCCATCACCAATAAAATATTTCCTTCTGGTTTTGTTTGTTGCGATCCCACGTCAATTTGATGAGTAACGGTCTGGGAGAAACCAGGCGGTTCTTTTGGTTCGTTATCAGACAAACCATCGGTTTCACGTTCACCAGTCGACCCAAGATTGGATCTATGACCATCATGTTCTTTACGGATTCGCTTTGGATCATGGCCTGAGGATTCACCATTCTCGTCTTGTTTCGGTCTTGAAAGTTTATCATAAACCGATTTCACTGTTTCTGTTATCTCGCTTTTCATGAATTCGGGTGATCGGATTATTTCCCACAACCCATCAGAAATTTGTTCATTTATTTTCCCCCTACAATTCAAAATTAGCCCATCAAACCTTTTTCTCACATTTCCTAAATTACCATGGAAAATGTAAATAACAGTAAATAAACCTACCCAACTTCTTGATGGATAGCATCTGATAATTGTCGAGGCTTCATGTGTTCAACTCCAGGACGGTTAAGTGCCACTGACTGCTTCACAATTGACACAATGCTATTACGCAACTCTTCCTGCAACGGAAATGGAATCAAGACAAGATACGATATATAGTCTATATGCATCATTCTCAATCTTTACTTTTATATAACATACAGAAATTTGGTGTTTAAAGAAGGGTTATCTTTGCTTAAACGCACAAACCTTGTGTATTTAAAGATGGTGATGTTAATTTCTCACCGTGACACCAATTATGGCATGACGAACTCCTTGCAATTCCACCCAGGCACACCAAGGCAACATCATTGCAATTCCATAACAACTATGTGCTCGATAACCTGCTCCATGGTTGCAATCATGGTTGAAAAGTTTGGTTTTTCAACAACTCCGCAGTTTTGGTATCTTATTTCTTCTTGTATATTTGGACGAATGTACTCTTTTACTCCATTTAATCATGCATGCTCATCCTCTTAAGGATGGCATAAAATTGTCTAATCTGTCATACCATGCCTACCTCCCAAAGTCATCTAAATCCAATATAGTAATATTATTGGGCCCTACAGATTTACCCATTTCTATCTTTCTTAGCAGTTCACTCACCATCTACACTTTGATTCTACAGATGAAACTTCTATTAGTATCATTAAAATAATCATTAGTTCTCTACTCTCCTGAATATGTCCATTGAAAAACAAATCAAAATAACCCCTTGGTCATTTGTCAAATCTCACTATCTTTTAACTAAAAACATCGATTCTCATCCTTGATGCATTTGATTATGACTTAGATCCCTAGTTCTAAGTTTGTTCCTCAAAACCAATTTGAATACATGATATTTCATCCTCTTTTGTTTCTATGATTTCCCCTATCATCAGTTTCTACCTTTTTAGCTTCCATCTTGGCTCATTTATACCTATCTATGTTCTCCATACTTGTTACAACCATGTAGGAGTTATAGCATCTTTTTTCTCCATGATAGCTTCTGTCTGGTGCTTTTCACGAAGATTATTGAGTGTATTTTCTTCCAGAACAACTTATATTTGGCAGCCTTTTGAACCTGGTTTTTAGAAATTCTCCCCATTTGATTAATTCTTTTGAATATCTGGAACTCCAAAAGAAATTTAAAGGGTTGGTAGAATCAATCCACAACAGGGTTCTCAAATCATCTTTATTGAAGATAGGTTTCTAAAATCTACTTAAAAGGCTTCAAAATTCAAAAATATTCAGCTTCATTGATAGAATTCCTACTCCTCTGAACTATGTGCTTGGCTTACTTGGAAACCTCCACCTTTTCATAAATTTTAAAGCTTAGCAACAATGTTTCATCTATAAAATTTGTGTATGATAGGTTGAATCTTTATCCAACCTCCATGATTTGCTTCCTCATTTGTACATCAACAACCGTTTTCACTTTCTAATTTCTATCCATGTCTTTAGACCAACTGCAAATTCATGGAGTCCACACCCTTCACCATAATTCTCTTCCTTGTTACCTTGTGGCATGTTAGTGTGCCATGGTCATCCATTCAATAATTACACAATTTGTTTCACCTTTAAAGTTTGTTATGCATTGTGCTTGCTCAATAGTATTGAGTTACTCATTGAGGAAGTTAGATCTAGTAGGCAGAAGATAGCATATCACCAACTTAGCATCCCCCCAAATGAAATTAAGTTGCAACAAATGATTGGAACAACAGGGATATGTTGATGCAAAAACTCTTGAATCATACCTTAGTCTCAAACTAACTGAATGATATATTACAAACATTTTGTGATGTGATACAAAAAAACAGAACTAATCCAGAAAACAGGCTTCTAACTCAGAACCACCACAAAGCATTATCCTAGGTTAAAATCCAGCAACTTTATGATCCAACTCTCCTACAATAACAAATTTGTCCTAGTTTGGGTTCAAAATGTTTACTCCTTGGGGCCAATTTTGATGAATATTCAGAAATTAGAGAACTCGAATGAAAATTATGCTGCAAATTGAAGGCCAACATATTGTGATTGTGATGCTTCAAAGTATTTGAGGAACCAAAGGAGTCTCTAACAAATATTGCATAACAAATAGCGCACTCCACAAGGACCACAAGAGTATATGAATCAGTATGTAATGAAGACCTAAACAAGTTATCTTTGCAATTAAATAACGAGAGAGAGGGGGAGGATCTAACATGGACTCACGTTTTCCTTAAGCTTGCGGATAATCTTAAGACGAAGCTTATCGAAATCGCCATCGTCCTTTAGCTTCGAAATCACATCGTCGCAACTGATCTTCTGATTTAGACCGCCGGTGCCGGTGCCGTTGACGTTTTCCATTAAAACAGAAAGTAAATCGCATAAATATTATGGACTTTCCACTCCGCTTCAAGATGAGAGAAGGTTTTGGTTAAACACCAAATCAATTGAACCACGGCTCGGCTTACCGACACAGTGTTTGGGATTGCTTAATTTAAAACAAATTATGTTTTATAAAAAATATTTGGATTATCGTATAGCGATATGATTTAGGTTAAGCTGATAAAATATATGGAGATCCTTTTTTTTCTTTCATCTAAACACTAAAAATTTCTTATTATTTATACCAGATCGGAATAAGTTAATAAGTTATAAGCGAGTAACTTATCAAAAACTTTTTACTACCGGTGTCAAACAGGTATAAGTATTTCCTTTTTTTCCATCAAAACACTAAAAACTTCTTATTACCAATATCACACTGAAATATATTAATGAACACTTTTTAAATAAACAATCCCAAATAGTTATGATTTTTATTCTTCAAAACTCAAATTCAGTAATTAGTATTAATCCATTTTCTTAATACTCTTATTCCCCTTTCATCTTAAGCTGCCATAACTTAGGCTCATCTTGGTATTTTGACAAGTAGTTATAACGGTTGGTAGATAACTACATAACAGTTATAACTACTTGTCAAAATACCAAGTTTCTAACCAAAGACTAAGGATTCTAACCTTCTGAGTTTCACTCGGGATATTCAAAAACTCAAATTTCCTATACAGTCTTCATAAAATCCTTAGAGGTTCCAGGGAACAGTCTCTTAACACCGTCTTACGACGATCTAAAGTGACAAGGACAATATTTACGAGTATACACTATAAACCTTAATACATGCCACTTCAGCAATGTTATCCCATTTAAATAACAATTACACCGAAATATTTAATTACATTAAAATCACCAAATGCTTTTGTACGTGGAAAAAAGAAATGATATGCATAATAATCAAGAAACAAGTAGAAAAAAAGTTGTAGATTTCAACAATCAGTAAAAAAGAAATCAAATATGCAATGAATCGTATACACAAGTAAAAGCCTGGAGGGTCAGCATTTATTTACATGTTGATTCACAAATTCAGTTTACAAATATTATCACAAGATGCAAAAATATAGCAACCAACAGTACAACATCATAAAGATTTTCTTTTTGGTATTATCTTCCATTTGACACACAACTTCCAGCGACTGACCAAAAAAAAACCCTAACTAAATTCATCCTATTCTTTCATTTGGGGGAACGGTGACGACGATGATGATGGCGACTCCTCTTCTTTAAGTGAGAGCTCGAATAACTGGGATCCGTCAAAAAGAACACCGAGTCATGGTACAGTTGCAGTAAATCCTAGATTTTTACAAGTGTAAATAAATGGATACTTACGGGTCATCATCGTGTTCTTTGCTGATTGATGACTCTCGACTTCTTTGGAAAGGCTCGTTCACCTGTTCAAAGCAGCTTGTTATAAAAACTGCGTATTTCGGGAAAGATATTTAATGTGTGCCGAAAGTGGCTTTAGAAAGTCCATTTTCGTCATTTAACATTTTCATTTGTTGGCTCGTTCATGTTTCATGTGGTGTGAAGAGACTTAATAGACTTATCAGGGTTACCTCCGTTACCCGTGGGTACCTGTGTGTATCTTTCACATAATCTTAAATAAACCACTTAAGTTATAATTTAGACTTCTTTGTCTTGGACTAGAGGTTATTCTGATAGATAATAGATTGTTAACTAGAAAGTATATGATGGAAGTTAAGCAGAAAGGGTGCACGATAAATCAAAAGGATGTAGACCAGCTGGAGGATACGCAAAAAATAAAAGACTCGAAGAATTAGGATCATAGAAACAGAATTTGGGTTGTTCGTTAGCAGCTTAGATTGAGCGGCCTTGACTAATTGTAGGAGGGAAAGTAAAAGGAGTGATTTACAACCACCCTGCCCCTAGCCCTGCCATGGAATAAAGATATAGCCCTATAACCTGGTTTTCAGCAGATCTAATGTGGCATGCCATAAACCATTATCAAGAGTGGTAAAGATGAGCATCATAAAGGAATCTACTTGAAATATATATATATATATATATATATATATATATATATATATAGGTGGAGGTTCAAACGAGAACGCGAGAACACCCTTATCACATGTGATAATACACGTGAGGGGACCTGGTGGTGTGCGGACGACGTGTCCTGCGACTTAGGTAGCGTCAAAGGTCGTTTACTATCATATGTGATGAATTATAGTATCAAATCAAGAACACACTAATCACATGTGATAATACACGTGAGGGCGCTTAGTGGTGTAAGGGCCACTTGGCTTGCAACCTAGATCGCACCAAAAGTCGTCCGCATGTCTCTGATTTAGCATCACATTTGTATCATATGTGATTGTCTATAGTAAAAGGGTGTATATGAAGGTGTTCTCATTCGAATCCTTCCCTATATATATGTGTATATATACTTGAAGAAGTTTACGAACCGGTTGATGTGAAATTCGGCTGCCTCTGCCATGGGCTTCCAGGTACTCTTCATATGTCTGCATCGGTGAAAAAACAAAGAGGCCATTATAAATCATCATTCAAATTAGACTGGTGATGCATGCACTAATTTACTCAAGATACAGAACTACAAAATAAAATAATCATCTTTTAAAATAAAATATCAAATTTAACCAAATTGTGTATGTTTATAGAAGAAAATCAAGAAATATTAAGAAAAGCAAGATAATTGTGATAAATCCAAACTTCCCCATTCATAAATTACTAACCATCCTATAAAACCACCTCCACCCTCCTCCTTTCCTTTTCTGGATATCCCAAAATAATTGTCCTCTCTCTCAAACAAGAAAGTTCTAACATTATTCTTCCTTTTTACCCTTGGTTACTTGCAGTGGTGGGCCCCACATAGGATCCACATGCTAGTTTCTTTCCTATACTACAAACGGGTAAGTTGGTAAACAGTACCAGGACCATTACACTTGTTTAATTAACATACCAAGTCAAAGGGAAATTATTTGGAATGTAAAGAATAACAAATATTATAATATGAAAAAGTTTTATTCAGCATATAGCTGCATAGGGTTGGGTTCCGGTGAGAATGGAAGTTATGGTGAGAAGGTAAGAAAGGATCTCCACCCTAGGATCAATCCTAATTGAAGATCAACAATAATGAGATGCACCCGATCAATTCTGTGATAAGCGCAATTTATAGGGTGGGGTGAGATTAGAAGTGATCAAGGGTCCAGATCCTTTCTTATGCTTCTCTCGTTAACTTCTATTCTTACATGATCCTTCGTCTATCTGCATAATCATTTGAGTGCAACAAAGTTGAAAGAACTGACCGGCAACAAGTAAGCTATTGAAAATAAGGGATTGACTAAAAGAATTTTAAATGGCCCATATACCATTTTGAGAATATCGTCATCAGTAAGAGCATTAGCCTGTCGGCTTCTTTCCGCAGACAAATCCCAACCGTCATATAACAAAGAACTATCACCACCCATGTCCACACTAGCAGCACTTCTTTTAAGAAAAGAGCTTTCTGATGTGTTAGATGTGTTATGAAATGCCGCAGCCTGTCTTTGCTGTGCTAGATGAAATATACTTGCTTCTGATTTATGTGGGTAGAACATTGAAGGATAGATCAAAGGTGCACTGGCTAGTGCTATATGCATAGGGTCCACATCACATTCCTCATCTTGTAAACCACAAAAAGTCTCTATACAAGGCCTTTTCGGTGGCAGAATATCCATGTTAAAATTGTAACTGCAAAAAAGGTCATATCTATTACCGAGGGTTCATTGACGTGAGACTCAAAACAACAGACTTAAGAAGTATCAAACCTGGTCTGGTTTTCATCCATGCCATTTTCCCCATCAATCAGCTCGCAAAGAGCTTCTCCAATATCTTGGGTTAACTCCTAAAATGGATGCATAAAACCAAAGAATATGTAATCAAAGCCTCCACGTGATAGAATAACAGAAAAATTCCCCTCAAGGGAAAAATGAAGACATGTCAACAACATATACCTGGCAATCTCTACTGATTTTAACAGGTTTATATTGATTTAAAGGGTTCTTTAGATGAAGAGTCTTCTGGAATGGCAAGTCATGTAGCCGCAGCCATTTCACCTTAAAACTGCGACCCCAGGGTTTGCTTCCTCCATGTCCATGGCTCCAAACGTTGTCTCTTCTCCAGCCAACAGATGACATCATTTGGGCATACCCTTGGAAGAAGCCGCTCATATTGACACTAAATATTAATATCACCTTACCGGAATTCTGCAAGCAAAGTGTATGCTCTCTTAGAAGCAGATGATTTTGAAAAGATTGACACAGAGAACAATAAACCAATAGTGAACTTACATGATATGCTTCTTCCAAGATAGGTTCATTCATCACTTGGGTAGCCCAAATTCCTCTCTCAATTGATAGTTGGATATTTTCATGGTTTAAACTCTTTATGATGAAATATCTTGTATCACTTGATTTACTTCTTTTATTTGCATTTGAGGTTCCCACCTGTTCGCAAGAATGGTCTTGATCTTCTGCCCCAGAAACATAGGCATCCTTGTCTACTTTGTCATTTGGGCTTTCTATAAGAACATTCTAGCTCATTCATTTTAACTACTAATAGAAGGATTCAACAACTGATCAAACTTTATCCTACTTTGTAAGTGAGAATGCAAAAAATGATGCTTGTTACTCAAAGGTAATACGATATGTACTGCTTGCAGGTATTCATCATAAGATGGCAAGCACCTAATGAAATAATCAAATAACTAAATACCAACACCTATTTAACTTTTCCTTTCAGTGTATATGGAAGCTTACCCACTCAAATCACAACAGGCAAACAATGAAGGGAATTTCAATTTTAAACATACTACCAAAGCATTTGGCAGGCTAAATCATTTTACTACATTTTTGGATCTTATAGACCGACTGAATGTGATTGGACCGTATGCTCAAGCTCCATCCCCGCAGTTCATCAGGTATGCATAATCACAACTTAAAACATAATCACGAACCTCTTATCAAATCTCTCCCCTCCAAACCCACAACAATGCAAGTTAAATACTTACCGCAATGCCAGGATCTAAGCTAGTTAGACAGCTTAGAGATGACCGCTGGGGAAAAGGGAGTGAGCTGTTTCCTCCATCCTCTCTGTTCTCTATCTCCACTATCTTGTTTCATCAATTCCTTCCCTCTCTATCCATTTCAAATGAGCCTCAAACACGCATAGCCAGTAAAGTGATGTGGATTTCATAAAGAAATACTTTTAAGTGAAATGGGGCCAACACAATGTATGTTTATTAAACGAGTCTTGAACAGTAAAAGGCACTCTCAGAACTGTTTCTTTGCAAGCTATATGTGGTGTATAACCTAAAATGGAACCAGAATATTGCCTCTGAACCCATTCCTCATCAGGATATAAAAAATTTAAGTCCAGGCAATCACATATCCTAAATAATAACTCAACAAGTTTCAAGTGTGACTAATTCAACATTTATAGCAAGTGCAATTTGGGGTCCAACCACAAGTATAAGCTCAAAACAAGAGTCTTTGTAGAAGTTATCAAGTATTATACTGATACATAATGTAAAACCAATCTATACGAGAATACTCTAATTCTATGCATAAAAAGACAGACATATTTACATACTCTTTTTTCCTTTCTCGAAATTCGTATCAGAACTAGGGATCACTACCTTGATTGTTCTTATTCTCTATATCAGGCTTCCATTCAGTCAATGACGAATCAACTACAGAATTATCGAAAGACATGGCCTCGTTATTTCCTGAGATCATAAAGAGAGGCGAACAAATGTGAGTAAAAAATGAAGCAATACGGCTGCCAACGACAGCAGGAAGTAGAAATTAAAAAAAAATCAATTCATTAAGAAGAATAAATGAACCAGTAGACATCCCCAGCAAAACTTTACAAGCTACTAAAGTTATCAATTGCAACCCTGAAAGCTATTTTAGAGCAGAGATTGGCGAACTGAAAAGGCAACCAACTCAAGCAAGCAAATATAAGCAAAGTGATATTACTTCCTTCATATCTCACATTAGATCCTAAGGGATTCCAAATATGTCTTCAAAAGCTAACTACGTTTAACGGTGGATTATGGATGACCTTAAACACATCCATGGACAACAACTTTAATAGCATTGGAAAAGTTTCAACTTTCAACAAGAGAAAAACTCATTTTAGTAAGAAAAGTTGAGAGAAACCCCATATAGCTGAAGTCATAATTCCTATTTAATAAATGTGTACATCCAAAAGATCATATAAGCTTTGCTTGCAAATGATGGATTACTAGATGGATATAGAAAGTTTGAGCAGATATTTGTTCCTCATCAATAATGCTCTCTCTTTATATGTATCTGTATATCATACTGAGTGTCATGATAGAATCCTAAGGTGAGGGAGAGAAAAAAAAATGCTTTTATGTGCATCAAGTTATAAGAAATGGTAAATAAAGACAGTTTAGTATAGTGTAAACACGATTAATATCGGAACTACTGAACTACATAAACTGTCATGTTACTATAACCCTTGGACCAGTTAGTTTATCTTTCCTTCTAAAGCATATGATTGAATAAAATAAGTTATTACTTGCATGATCACCCTTTATTACTTCTAGATCACTGGCAAGTCGATTTAACAAAGATGTATGCAACTTTGCATCTGTTTATGACTTGCTAACTTGCTGGTTATTTATCCACAGTCCTATTCCTTCCCAGACATTTTTTTCCTTTTATCTCTAAATAAACTTGGGATTCAAGTAAATTGCTTATTGCTCGGTTTATCTCATCCTTCTCTTMAATTTCCAAGTAAAATGAATAATTTAGATTCCTATGGCATCATCAAGGGGATGCCCTTTAAGTTTATAAATTGTTTATGGTATCTTTAACAGCAATCAAACTTTAACATCAAATGCAAGTTCAGCATCACCTTACTTAGCCTATCCAAAATCATATACTAATATACTATTAACAAACATAAACTTGAGGTCGCCTTTTTTCTTGAACAACTATAGCGAATAGCGCTTCTATGGACCAACTCCTATCCACTTCCTATTTTACCAATGAGTCCGGTCACAAATCAAAATCTACTGAAACAACTCCTAAACCCTAAAATGATGCCAAATTTAGTCCATCAACACACATATAGATACGGAGAGTATCGATCATAACCAGTAGTTGATCTCAGTTGATAGCATTGCAAGTGAAAGCATAACTCGAATTCCAGCGACAAACAAGAGATTCATCAAAGTTGGAGGTAAAACCTACTTATACACCAAAATGTGACGAAAACTGAAAATTATGAAAAAAATAACGAAATTAACAAGAGAAATAGTACCTTTACGAAGAACAATAATCCTGGAGGGATGGTGGATTTGGATACTGCGTGTAGATAAG